TCTATTCCAGCACAGACACTTCCAGTGAGATGTTGCTTTTTAAAAACATCCTCACATACAGTTTTCAGTTACTCTTCACATGATAAGGGTTGTACTTCTGCAGTTTCAACTCTGCTGGCATACACCAAATAATTTCTGTATTGTTTTCAGATTTATTTTTTTAATGGTTTTAATAAACAGGCACAAAAATAATCAAAGCGTAAAACTGTCCTTACACTGTGTTTCCCTCTGACTACTGTAGAGTTTATATAAATCTGCCTGTTCAGAGTAAAAGTCATGTCACATGGAAGTTGAGATAAAAACCAGTTTTCGCTATTAATATCCCATTCAATATTCTAGTCGAGCCATTCCAGTGTCTTTGAACACATAAAAATTCGGTATCATGTATGATTAGACTTGCTGATCAAGTTTTATCTTCACCTCAATGCATATTTACTAGCTCATAAGTTATAAGGCTCTTTTGTAAATTATGCTGTTCTGTTGTTAAGAAAACTGAAGAAGTTGCTGTCACCTCAGGCAGCACTTACTCCTGGATGGTGTACATCTTGTTTCAAAACTACCTGGGCTGACTAAAATACACAGTACTTGGACCTCCAGGCAAACCTCAAGAACCTGCTGTTTCTTACTTTTCCCTGCCATCTCTGCCAACACAAGTACAGGGGGGATATCTAATCCTGGGATACTGAACTGTGTACATTTTGCTCACAGGTCACAGACAGGTAACATCTACATTCTGAGTGGGAATCCTGTCCTTCATCCTATTCTCCTGGCATGGCTGGCTGTGCCAGTTACAAGGAGAGTAGATAGCGCCTGGATGGTCTTAGCAAAACTACTTGGTGGATACTGGGAAAATGTAACCAAGGGTGAAAATTGATGTATTCTCACATGTGTAAATCACGGTGTATAGAAAGTGCTCAAATAACCAATATATTTCTTTAACTCACACAAAACCAGACACAATAGCCAGGGGAATTATTATGGTAGAAGCAGCAGGTTCTGAAGAACCAGAGTAAGGTAAATCACTGTCAAAAAATAATAAATCTCCTCCTGTATTACATGCGGATGCACCCTTGCAAGCCTTTTTAGAAAATAAAAATTCCATGTTGTATATATGAAAATGCAGCTGTTGATGAAGTCAGCTATTCAAGGGTACTCATTTCTTTGCAACTGATGATAGCTGCATTTCTTTCTCCTTTACTTTCTTCTTCTAAGAACAAGTACCCGCTCCTGTTGGTGTTTGGATCAGCTATTGGAGACAGGCACTATATGTCTGTAATTTTTACAGTATTATAACACTTTGTGACTTAGGAATTATGAAAAAAATCTCTTGTAGTTTATTTAAATACATACTGCTGCACTACAGTACCGAGGAATTTCTGATTAGGTGAACAACTGTCTTGCTCTGCATCATTTGCACAGTTCTTAAAACTACTCGTAGAAGGGGTGAAATCCTGGCCCCAGGGAGGCTAAAGGAGACCACACCTCGTCCATGAGTTTCAGAACAGGGTGTCAGAACAGAGTATTGCTAGGGTACCTAATAAGAAACTCAACAATAATTTATAAACTCATTGGCATGGATATATAGAAATATTTCTAGTTTGTCAGAATAAATCCTAATATTCAGCAGCAGCATAGTTATAGCCTACATCAATCATCCGCACTTCAGTCACCTTGTTCTTTCTCATACTCTGCTGATTCAGCTTTAAATTTGGTATCACTGATAGGAGTCTTTCAAAAAGGTCACAAAAGTGCATCCAATGTAAGGACAGTGGTTCAGTCCAATGGATCCTCAGTTACTACTCCTTCTCCAGTTAACCTTATTTCAGTCAAATTAACTACATTCCACAAAAACGTGCATCCTCATCTTTCGGATTTACACTGGAAATGATCATCAGGCTAGTATGGAAGAAATTGCATTGAAAAAAATGTCAGCAGCACCAAGTTTTCTCAGTGCTTATTTTCTAAGAACCTTACTTCACGTCTTCTACATTGTGCTCCAAATTTCAGGCTGGGTGGTTTTGAGGGTCTGGTCTATGTGGGAGTGATAGGGTTACTGAAAAGGTAGAACAACCAACAGAGCACATTTGACACAATGCAAAAGGGATGTTTTTCCAGATGCAACCTAAACCATGACTGATTTTGTTCCTCATTCAAACACTGCCAAGACATATACTAAACATCAGTTCTGAAATATTCATGTTTAGTCCTTCCTATCTACAGTGCCTGTCTATCAGCTATATGGAATTAAGTCTTGAGCTAGTTCTGGTCTTGATCTCTTTCTAGAAAAGCTATGGCAACAGTGAAAAGAAAATCATCTATATTTATGAGCTCATTTTTAAAAATCAATTGAATTTTAACATTGAAACAATGCACTATTTCATCAAGTACTGCTATACGTAACTACATGTGTTTATGGATCCATATTGTTGAAAAACTAAGATTCTAGAATTAACTAAATCCTACAATACTGAGCTTGGGCCAATTTGCTACTATACTAGAGCAAAATACCATCATGCCTGGTTCTTCTTTTTCTGTTTGAAACCTTTGAGTTCACATCTCATCTCCTGTCAACCATAGGCAGCATTAGAAATATTCCTGAAATGGCCATGCACTAAGCCAACTGGTAAAAATCCTATTCATTTCTTTCCCATAGGAAGAAGATATAAACGTTGCCTGAAAATGTCTCTAACATGACCAAATTTATTGTTCATCCATATACTCATGTAGAGCTACCTGTAAAGCTGTCTTCTATATTCTCATTGCATTCTCTTAATGTGTGTATCTGCAACTATTTTTGAGCATTTGTGGTATTTTCATGGAGGTTGAGTGGAAGTGTCATATAATTCACAACTTGCTGTTGGTAGTAAAGCTTCCCCAAGATGAGTTTCTTACTTCTGCTTGGTAGGTGCCAAGGTTTTCAGCTATCCTGACTACTGGGAAGGGGGAGCTTCACAAAATGGCACTGTCCCTCCCCAGCAGAACTGGAAATTTTGTGACTCAAGAGTTGTAACACTTAATAAATTAGTATCATTCCCATCATGTTTCATATATCAAATTATAACGTAGATCAAATATCATATTTGTGCTGTTGCTTTACATGAACCTTACATGAACACCTCGAACCTTCTTTCCTCTCCACCTTTCAGCCCTAGGCAGTCATAGAGGAGGTTCACAAGAGCTGAGCTCAGACCAGCACTAGCTCCAAAAGGGGAAGAGACTGTAAAGTTAGGTACACCTTATGTACTTTTTTATTAGTAGAAACAAAAGCAGGTAGTAAACATTTTGAAACAGGTTATGTATTTGCATCCAAGCACTTCAGTAAGCATGACAAACGTTGCCACCTCATGGACAGGTGCAGGGTTTGATTCAGCTCAGCGGTAGGAAGGAAAAGGGATCACGGAGATGACTCATTGCTGCTCTTTCACACTCTCCTGAGGCAGGAAGTGACAGCTTGGCCAGAAAGATGTTTTTTGTTGCTTCGATTCGCCTGGAACTTGTTCATTTGGGTCTGGATCCAGGAGCTTGGCTACACATCCACAACGGGGGGGGGGAGGAAAAAAAAAAAAAAAAAATCAAAAAAAGCTACACATGTTCAGGGTATTTGACCATCTCCAATATCAGTGCACGGTGGGGGAAAGAATTACCATTTTTTCCTTGGAAAAAAACATAATAGTCAAGATAGGACATGGCCCTGTCTTGTACTGTCAGTCAAAGACCAGCATTTGGGCATTCGGGAGTAAAATGCCTGAGGCTGTGGGACCTGGAGTTTTCAAGAGTGTGACTGAAATCACCAGATTCATGAAGACAATAATCCCAAAATGGACTAGGGGATTTTAATTCCCCATAAAGGTAGCAACAGTTGGGAATCCTCTACTTATAAAATGGAGACAAATGAATTGTTCTTTATTCCACTGTGTATTTCCAAAGCTAAAGTTTTATGTTATAACACCACATTGATTATTCACTATTCTGCATCTTTTGGGGAACTGCTGCAAGAATATTCTGTCACCTGTTGAATTTCTCCCTTTCTGAGGGAAAGGCAGCTGTGCCATCCTCCTCTACAGGACAAATACTGTTATAAAAGCCATTACACAGTGTGTATCTTAAAGTATGTTCATTCCAAACAGCATTATAATTAGCACTTAATATAACTGGATGAGCACAAAAGGATTATTAAATGTTTAATCAAAAAGAACACCTTTCAAATTTGACACTGGGATACAACTTTAAGAATCCATAATTTCTTAAAATCAAGCTTTGTAAAAATATATTCATAGTCAACATTTATGAATGATCTGAAAAAAGACTATGGTGATTAAGTTTCCTATCATTGTGATCTCCATATAACAGTGTAACAGTCTGCCTACATACGACTGAAGAGAAAGAAGGATTTATACCAGCTTGATTTTAAATATGTTCCTATGTTTATTATATTTTGCTACTCCACTTTCCTAAAATGGTGGCCTCAGGAAAAGCTGCTTTGGCAGGCAATTGCAAAGATTCCTGTGGAGAGGAAGTGAAAAGACTGGGCATACAAACAAGGGCTGCTGCCATGTTCAAAGCACTGGGGAGAGTTCATAGAGCAAAATGCAGTCCTAAGTAAATGGGTTTCAGGCAATTTCAGTGTTAAGATAACATCATTAAGAGTAGAACAGATTGTGCTCAAACCCTGCTGTTTATAATTAACACATTGCTTCCAAATACTCCAGGGTCCCTGGTAAATAGTCCTCTGCTCAGATCCACCCAGACCAATCAGAGTATTTTCATCAGATTCCATGCTGGGCCAGCACCTGTTTGGACAAATCCAAAAGAGCCAAAATACTCTTCTTTCTGGCCAGCTAAGTAGAGAGATGAACACAGCTTGCCTTAGTCATTGTCACACTGTCCATATGGCTGTGAAGCTTGTTTTCATAAGAAATCGTACAAGTACTTTATTATGTCGAAGTTCACGGTCCTATAAACAAAAACACAGTATATTAGAGCAATCATCTTAACAGTGCTAAGACTTTAACCTGTTTGGAGACAGCACATGTGGGACATTCTGCACAATCAAAATCAAGCTATATCCCCAAAAGAAATGTAATCGAGGAAGAATGAATTTTTAACTTCTAGTGTTATTTACAGTACCTGTCTTCTGATTATTTAAACTTTGTAAGTCTAAAAAAGAAATAAAGCAGCTTTCTACTAAAAACTGGAAGATCCTTATTTTGATCATTAAGCAGTAAAAATATATCAAAGATAATAAGATCATATTTTCATATGGTAAACATGATACACTCTAGTTGGTGATGCAAAACAGCAATCTTTTATGCTATTGAATGTTTTGTTCATCTTCCAAACCACCTGTTTTAGCATGTACTATGTAACTCCTTCATCTGTACTCATTTGTAGTCTGCATTCTTTCAGTTTTGACACTAGTTGACCCATGTTCATAGCTAAATTTGAAAAATCCAAGAATGCCACTCAATGGGATAGAAGATTTTAATGTATACTTTTGTACTTTAATGGCAGGCAGAATGAAAGAGCAGTAGAATAAAACATATAATTATTTTTTTTGTCTCTAAACGTATTCCACTATACAATCTAACACTCAGACTTCGGGGTTTACTGTTTGAATAAATAACACAAATTACTGCATATAATGACAAGTATAAAAGTTGAGGGTTTTTTTAAAGTATTCAATGATGCAAAAATAACTGCTCACAATGATAAGGGAGACTGAATGTCTAATTTGTTAGACTACAATCATTTAATATTCTCTGTTCACACATCATCTGTAACCCACTTTTTGAAAAGTTTCTATAAAACTTCATATTGGGCAGAGAAAAAGTTCAGAAATCCCAGGATACATAACAAGAAATATTGTGCTTGAGTCTACTTAATAACCACTTAAAAAATTAAAGATATTAACTGCTATTGTTATCCATATGACGTTGTGTCACTCAAGAAAAGTGCTTTAGTCTTGTAACTAAAGCTTTCAACAGAAACAAAATCACACACTCCAACAACTGCTGACCTTATCAACTAAATGAAACACAATCATCCTGTCATAACAACTGAGTTCATTAGAGACTGTATGAAAAGACCTGTTACATTCAGGAAACATTAAGAGATCCCTACTTCAGCTACAGAAAATTTATGAATTGGGTCTGCAATTCTTAAAAGATAAATCAAAGATTTCTAACAAAGAAACGTCTAACCTTATCTTCAGCTAAACATGTAAATACTATGTGGTAAAAAGCATAGTAATAACTCTGGAAAGACTGAATGTATGCAACAGAACAAAGCCAGACATGAGGTTCTGCAATACTAAAGAGACTGTGCATGGCCAGCAGTTATGACACTAAAAACCACCAGGAAGAGACACACGTTTTTTAAGTCTTTCCCAAAAACAGGTGGCTTTTGCATTTTTTTTTTTAAATGCAAACTTCACTTTTGCTTAAAAAAAATACAGAAAATGAAATGACAATCTGAACACCCTGAACAGTATTGGGGAGGGGAGAGAGAAAGCATCATTTTCTGTCCCACTCTTTGCACTCTCAGCTTTCTATTAGGAAATATGCTCAAGTAACAAGGCTGAGATATCTGAAGATTTTAGGGACTAACAAACTTATTTTAGTACTATTACAGTAACAAAGAAAAAATAATCAGGACATAGGCTGCTTATTTCATGTGTAATTTGGTTGAAATGGCAAAGTAGTTTCTTCTCCGCAATAAATATAACTTTTCCCACAAGTGGTTAAAAACTACAGGCAGCTGCAAGACTAGTGCACATGTAGAAAATGAAATTTCTTAAAGCACAGAAGATCATGTCTCTGCCCTGTAGCTAGCCCCATCAAGACAATGAGGAAGTTCATTTACCATGGGTTCATAAAGCCTTGCATCTTTATGGATCTTCCTCCTTAAAGATTTAAGAAAGACTGTGGGCTGGAAAAGATAATAAAAAAATGGAACAAAGGAACAAAGCAAGAAAAAGAAGGGGGAGGGGGGAGGGGGCAGAACAGAAGAAAAGTAGAATAGTCCAACTTTAAAAATCTGTCAGGTCATTTAAACAGCCCTGTCTAGGTAGTATATAAATATTTCCAAAGTACTTCGGTAGGGGGTGGGTGGAGAACTGCTTTCTTCTTTATAACATGTAGGAAAAGTCAGTCAGGAGATATACACACACACACACACACACACACACACACATCTGACCTAAAGGGAAGCAAGTCAAAGCACTAAACGATGCACTGAGGTTTGAAGTGACAGCATCTCCAACAACTACTTTCTGCGGTAAGCACAAGCTGCATAGTACAAGTTTTGGTCCTGTTTTCTGGCTATCTCTACATTCCAGCAACTTTAATGGAGTCAAGGATGCTAAAATTGCAAGGAGAGGGCCATTATTTCAAGTATCTTAATTCAAGGACCCTCATAGTCAGTACACAGTTTATGAACGTCTCTTTATTCATCACAGGAGTTAGAGTGGAGACAAGAACTTGGGGATGTTTGTATACACAGTGATCCATGTTGCTGAGCAGATGGTCTGCTGTACTTGGTACCAGTGGGAGCTTTTTCAGGGCATCATTCACCAGCAACTTTATTGCTGGGAATAGGAAGTTGACACAGTAAAGCCATGGAGATCCTGGCAGTGTGGTCCAGCCAGGTCTGAACCAGATGAAGTTTCATTCTATGGCCTGTCCAGCTGCAAACTGAAATTAGTGTGTCTGTGAGGATTACTGATAAAGCTATTGGGCATTTAGTAGCTCAGGAAAGCAACACATGCACTGAGGTTATGGGATACAGTCTACACCAAAGGTTCCTCTGATGTCCCACATTACAGAGAAGAGATGGCCTTAAGAATGTTTCTCATCCTTTTCACTACATGTCATTTCTTGGCTCTGATCTGGCTCTGACTCTTTATCTAAGACCTGCTAATAAGCTAGCTGCAGCAACAGGTGTGAGGTAATGCTGTTGCCATTTCATAAAAACGAGACATAAGCTTGACTGTTGCTTATGTACTGCGTGCATTTCTGTCTCTAACTTATCATCTCTCCTGATGGACCTGGAACTCTTCTCAGACTCCAGAACTGAAGGCTCTGAATGAACAGAGCGATTGAGTTACCTACATACATTTACTGAATTAGTTTGCGTCAACTACAGATCACACAAGATAAGAATATGCAGAAGAATTCTTATACTCTATGTAGGTTTTATGTCATATGTACAAACACTGTTAAGAATTAAATATAATTTCAGATTCAAATATCATAACGTGCCTTTTGGTAATGAAATGGACTGACATTTTAGAGTAGTATTTTCACATGAAGTCCCTGACCTTTATTAAGCCCAACGAGAGTATATTACTATAACACATACTGCCACTGGAACATGAATTTTTTTCAAAACAGGATTGGACTATACTTACCTGAAGCTCAACACTTCTCATAAATAAGACAACTCATTCACTCATTCTTAGAAAACATCCATAGATTTCTATTCTGGTCGGCAGAGAGCTACAGACTGAGCAAATACCGAGTTTGAAGTCTCTTTCAAGTCAGCACATACAACAGCAAACAAACCTAATAGGCTCACCGGGCAATAGCTCTGATGAAGTCCAGAGATACAGTACATTTATATCGTGGTCCATCAAGCTGGTCATTATGGCCAACCATGGATAACAGCTGCAGAGTCACAAGAGAGGTGATCTACAAACAAGAGACATTAGTAATGTCAGTCATTTTTGCTAACAAAAATGTGGCCGTATTTTTTTTCCATTTGGCATCATTCCCATATTTCTCTGGCGAGCGACTCACACTTGCTCACTGATTTTCACGTAGTTCTGCAGCTAGCGAACCCAGAAACAAATATACATTTTCACAATTACATTTTCAGCACAGGCAGTGAGAACCACAGGCTAAACCCTTCATCCTTTGTATCAAGTGTTATCCTGGAGTTCTGATCAAAGAGGGAAAGACAATGTGGAAAAGACAAATAACAGGCATAAGTTGAACATTTTCCAAATCTCTACCTGACAACCAAGAAAGATTTTGATTTTCTTTCTTTTATACCCGAAAACCTCCTCTTGAACATTCCCACTCAAAGTTGAAGTACCATGGGATAAAGACCTGAAGGGAAGAGGGGCCCAAGAAAGCTGGTTAATATTCAAGGATCACCTCCTCCAAGCTTAAAAGCGATGCATCCCAATGAAGATAAATTCAGGCAAAAATGCCACGAGACCTGCATAGATGCACAGGGAGCTCCTGGACAAACTCAAACACAAAAGAAAGCCTAAAGAGGATGGAAGCAAGGACAGGGAGTCTGGAAGGAATACACAGAAACTGTCCAAGCAGGCAGGGAACAGGTTAGGAAGGCCAAAGCCCTGACAGAATTAAATATCACCAGGGACATCAAGAACAACAGGAAAAGCTTCTATAGGCATGGCAGGGATCAAAGGAAGACTAGGGGACAACGTGAGCCCTATCCAGAAGCAAATGGGAGACCTGGTTCCCTGGAACATGGAGAAGGCCGAGGGACAAAACAACTTTTTGGCCTCAGTCTTCACCGGCAAGGGCTCCAGCCACACTGTCCAAGATGCAGAAAGCAAAGGAGGGGACAGAGAATGAAGAACTTCCCACTGTAGGAGAAGATCAGGTTCAACACCACCTAAGGAACCTAAAGGTGCACAAGTCCATGGGACCTGATGAGATGCATCCACAAGTCCTGAGGGAACTGGCAGATGAAGTATGAAACATGGCATATGAATGCATCATGTTTGTCAAATCATGGCAGTCCAGTGAAGTTCTCACTGACTGGAAAAGGAGAAACATAACCCCCATTTTTAAAAAGGAAAAAAGCAAGACCCAGGCAACTATAGGCCAGTCAGTCTCAACTCTGTGCCCAGCAAGATCATGGAGTGGATCCTCCTGGAAACTATGCTAGGGCACATGGAAAACAAGGACGTGACTGCTGACAAACAACAGGGCTTCACTAAGGGCAAATCAAGCCTGACAAATCTGCTGACCTTCTATGATGGGGTTACAGTGTTGGTGGATAAGGAAAGACCAACTGACATCATCTACCTGGACTTGTACAAAGCATCTGACACTGCCTCATATGACATCTTTGTCTCTGAATTGGAGAAACATGGATGTGATGAATGGACCACTTGGCAGATAAGGAACTGGCTGGATGGTTGCACTCAAAGAGTTGAGGTCAACAGCTCGACATCCAGGCAGAGAGCAGTGATGAGTGGCATTCCTTGGGGGCTGGTATTGGCACCAGCACTGTTTAACATCTTCAGCAGCAACATGGACAGTGGCATCGAGGGCACACACAGCAAGTCTGCTGACAACACCAAGCTGTGTGCTACAGCTGACACACTCTGGAGGGAAGGGATGTGTCATGGTCCCATCCAGAGGGATCTGGACAGGCTGGAGAGGTGGGCCCATGCAAACCTCATGGAGTTCAACAAGGCCAAGTGCAAGGTCCTGCACATGGGTCAGGGCAATCCCAAGCACAGATACAGGCTGGGCAATGAGTGGATTGAGAGCAGCCCTTCAGAGGAGGATTCGGGAGTACTGGTGGATGAAAAACTGACTATGAGTCAGAAAAGTGTGCCCACAGCCCAGAAAGCCAACAGTATCCTGGGCTGCATCAAGATAAGTGTGGCCAGCAGGTCACAAGAGGTGATTCCCCCTTGAGACCTCACTTGCAATACTGTGTCCAGCTCTGATGCCCCCAATATAAGGAGGACATGGGGACCACAAAGATGATCAGGGGGCTGGAGTACCTCACCTATGAGGACAGGCTGAGAGATTTGGGGTTGCTCAGCCTGGAGAAAAAAAGGCTCCAGATAGACTTTATAGTGGCCTTCCAGTACTTAAAAGAGGCCTACAGGAAAGATGGGGAGGGACTTTTTAAAAGGGCAAGTGATAATGGCTTTAAACTGAAAGAGGACAGATTTAGATTAGATATTAAGAAGTTGTTCTTCACTGTGAGGGTGGTGAGGCATTGGCACATGTTGCCCAGGGCAGCTGTGTCTGCCCCCTCCCTGGCAGTGTTCAAGGCCAGGTTGGACGGGGCTTTGAGCAACCTGGGCTAGTGGAAGGTGTCCCTGCCCAAGGCAGGGGGGTTGGAACTAGATGGTGTTTAAGGTCCCTTCCAACCTGGCTGGAAGATGACGTGCTTAAAAAGACCAGTGCCTGAAAGGAGTTAAATGTGCCTACAAACACCATACAGTGTCTTGACAGAGCCACTGATTATTTTACCAAAACAGTGTACCAGTGCATTTTTCACTGTCTTCATTCCTCCAAATGATGACTGTGGTATCACTAAAGTGCAGTCTCATGGGATGTGACCACTGAGTGCAACCAGTCTGTTCTGCCTCAGTTAGCAAAAACCACTGTGGTGATTCTACTGTCTCCCTACCCCCTCCTAGATCCCAGGGACAAGAAACAGGTAAAAGCAGAAAACAAGAAAAACTTTTCCCTGGCCTTTGCTATAGATGCCACTGAGAATTCAAGGCAACAAGGTTACATTCTGTGAAGAACTAAAAAAAAAAAAAAAAAAAAAAGCCAAAAAACCCCCCACCGAAAGCCGTAAACCAGCCAACCATGACCTACCTCTGTGATAATAGCATGGTAGGGAATTTCTGAAGAATAAATGTATCAGTTCAAACCTTCAAGGAAACACATTGCTATAAAAAATAGCAGAAAGTTCTTACCAGTATCAATAAAAAAAAAAATCCTAGCTCAGTAATAACCCCACTCTTTTGTTGAAAGTGAACTCAGTCTTCAAATTTGTGACAGTGCTTGCAGGAGGTAGGCAGAATTATTAGCTTTCCCTTAAGTGGACATAATATAAAAAAATTACACCTACCTGTGGAGAACAGAAAAAATTACAGTCACCAAGAATGAGGCAATTTTTATAAGAGCCCGTGCTTAACTTTCTTTTATATTGCATTAGGCAACAATGGTTTGGATGCCATCATTCTACAAAGTCTTTGGAGTTTGGTTAAGGAATACTGGCCCACCCATATTCACAAAGATAAATTCCATTTACTTTCAAGTCTATAAAGTACATTGAAGAGTAGCACGATTTACAAATTCTTAGCACTGACAGCATTTAAAACTGAACTCAGTATATGGTAAAAGTCAAAATGCAGTTCATGAATCTGAACATATCACTGAATTGGGTTCAACCTCAAACTTGTTAGAGGTGTTTTATTTTCTTTAAATATTCATGAGTTTAAGAGCACATTTTTCTACATTCTTCATTCAACAAAGTCCTTATTCAGTCAGTGAAGATGCATTATAGAGTAATCCGCTGTAACAACTTCTATTTTACACCCCAATGCACCATTACTGGCCAATCACTTCTGCAATACATACTTGCAGCTGGCCTCACATTCAGAAATCACCAATGAAGGAATGGCAGGAGGCTCCTAAAAGCTCCCAGTAAGTACAGCAAAAGCCTAGATAGTTTGGAGCTGGACCCATCTCAGTTTTATGTGGGATGTAAAAGGGACCTTGCTGCTGCATTACAAATGTTCCAGCCATACTTTTAACAACTAATTGTAACCATTTTCTTTTCCAACTAGTATCAAATAATATGTGTGTAACACAAGGTCTGCAATGTAAAATTCCTTAATAAAGGCTGACTCAAATCTGAAATAGCATCAGACTAGCCACTATGTTTCATTAATGCTTTCGACTCAAAATATTAACTTTAAAGATTAAATATACAATATTACAAGACAAATGAAGCTATTGATCATCAGAATAACACAAACTTACTTAGTAAGTTGCAACCCTTTACTAATTTCTTTTACAAATCCTCTATTTATTTATCTTAATAAAAACGTCATCACAGGGATGTGAGCACAGTGAGTCCTGATCCTGAGATTCTTTAAGACAAGTGGAGAAAATTGCCATTTTCAATTCACATGGGTAAGAAAGTTTTATCTCCAAAGAGATTCAGTAGAGACAAAGAATACATATCTAAAGGGGAATAAATAGGGACCAGTTTCCCTGCAGACAGACAAATGTTAGAAGCTAAAATACCTAACTTGTGAGACTTTAGAGCAGAATTCAAAACCTAGATGCCTAGACTGTACATAGAGAACTGCAAAAATCACTGAAAGACAAATCCAAAATCCTGCATGCTGAGGCCACAGCAGCCTGAAGCTCTGTTTGTATAGATTTTCAATGGGTTCAGGGAGAATCAAAAACAGCAAGAGAGTTCTGTCACCCCAAAGCAATGTCTTCATTTTTTCTGCTTTATACAATATAGCAGGACTCTGATGCTGCTGCTGCTAAGTCAGCCACAGAATTAGGCAACACACACGGGTTTTTTTTCAATAAATTGCTTTGTTAGAAGATTTAATTGTGGTAGATGTGGAATTAAGTTCCTCAAATATTTTGTGCTGAACCTATCTGTCTAGACCCAATTGCCCCCATCAGCGCTACAGGCTTGGGGAGGAGTGGCTGGAGAGCTGCCAGTCAGAGAGGGACCTGGGGGGGGCGGTTTGATTGACAGCCCGATGAACAGGAGCCAGCAGTGTGCCCAGGGGGCCAAGAAGGCCAATGGCATCCTGGCTTGTGTCAGCAATAGCGTGGCCAGCAGGGACAGGGAAGGGATCTGACCCCTGTACTCGGCACTGGTGAGGCCGCCCCTCGATTCCTGTGTTCAGTTTTGGGCCCCTCGT